CATTAGCACGGCGATTCATAAATCATTTAAATGTTGCAGGTGGGACATACTATACATTCAGATCGGGTTGCATAGGCATTCATTTATTTGCAGTGTGAATAATCTAAAGCAAGGCCAGCTTGCTTTTGTTTCAACAAACAAGATTGTAACATCAACCAGTCTTTACGAGACATTTTGATATAGATGTTTTACCTTTAGCGCTATTGTCGTGTCAACTATTGTTACAACATCATCCCCAAAGCAAAGTGAGACATTATCGGGAAAAACAATATCCTAAAAATGGATCACATAATTCACCTTTAATCTTCATTATCATTAAAATTTTAGCTCAGAATCTGTGAGTCCTTACATTTTTGACAACTGTTGCTAAAATACCTTTGTTTTATTCACAAAGGCGTTTTAGTTGACGGGAGTGTAATGAAAAGAAAATTTGGTGCAATTTCACCTGTCGACATGGACCACAATAATCGCTTTAACCCGTGAGGGTTTTCAAGAAAGACATGTTCCATGTCAGTCTAAAATGAGGAATGCACTCTCATGTCCACCAGTGGGGAAAACTGGAAAATAAGATTTTAAAAGGATTAAAAAACACCAACAGCATTGATAATAGACACATCTTCTTGAACGTAATAAATTACACTTTTATCCATTGAAGAGGTTTGAGAGGATTCTGTGTAATACTAGCACACTAACCATAGGCACTTCTATGGGAATACCAACATTGCATCTAGGAACACTATTTGTGCAAACTTATTGGCAAGGCATCTCTATGACCCTCTACAGACAGGGTAAAGTTAATTGATTTGGAACAACTGTTGATGATGTGCACAGAATTTGCAAATAAAACTTGATAATGAAAGTGTACGAATGCTTTTCTTTAAAAAAAAGTAAACTTGCGCAAACACTACAGTAACACTACACGGCAGACAATTTACAAGTACCTGAGAGATATATTTTAATGGTACTGCATTCATCTCATATACTGTTTACTTTTTTGTATAGACTGGGAAACATCCTTGCAAAATGCATTTTACTCATGAAAGTCTATTGAGATCTATTATCTGTCTTTTACATTGCTTTTCTCTGCCACTGATATTGGTGGCAAAACCACTAGAAAATATTGAACAGGAAATGTCATCCTAGGTCACATTAGATGTTCATAATACTCCTAGATAACTTGGAAGCCAGCACATCTGTAATATTACGAAGTTGGCTGGTGATAGGAAATTATGTGGTTAACTGAATGATATTAGGATAACTAGCATTTTGAATGCTATGGCCAAGAATGGCAGATGGATTTTAATGTAGATGTATTTATATGCAATGATTTGCATACTGTAACACTCTAATCATTTACCACAGTAAAGGGGAGTCCATTAGATGCGGTGAAGAAGGAAAATAGCTTGGATGTGATCATTGGTCACTCACTGAAGGGGTCCACTTAATGTGAAGCTAATGCCAACAAAGTGAATCATTCACATCTTTAAAGACACAAGTCAAAATCTTTTATATGATCTTGCCACAAAGTCCACTTATAAAATCATGAGCAATTCATTATTGGAATCTTATAAGCAAAAGAGAGTTTTTTTTTATCTCTGTAAAAAGCCCATTGAAAGATTGGAGAGGGTTCAGAGAAAAGCAAAGATTTAGGGTCTAAGATCTCTAACTTGTCAGGAAAGACCGATAGAGCTGAACTTGCCCTCATTAGAAAAAAGCCTGAGATAGTAAATGATCCAGGTCTTTAAAATGAGAGGCAGATGTTCAGATCCAATTTACAATCTTCACACACAAGATTGTGATTTTTGTTTCCAAATATCTGAAAAGTGTCAATTCCACAACATTCGCAAATTTCTTCACTGTGATTTTGGATATAATAATAATAATCCTTGCACTTGATATAGAGCCTTATCACATCTTCAAGACGGCTCAATGCGCTGCACAGAATATACTGTAAAGTGAATTGACTATATTTTGTGGGCAAAACGCTGCAGCCAATTGCTCACAGCAGCCTCCCACAAACAGACGTGGATTAAGTGACTATTTATTTTTAAGGGACTATTACACCCAGAAAAGCAATCTACCAATCAACTAGCAACTCAACTGGGCTACTACTTACTGCTAGGAAAACAGAGGTGTGTGGAGTAAAGAAGCTTTCCCAAATTTCACCCTGCCAGGAATCAAACCCAGGTCTCTCGCTTGCAAGGCAAGTGCTCTAACCACTGAGCTACAGGACTCCACAACGGAATGGCGATAAATTGTGGAAAACAGTTAAAGAAACCAATAGGTTGGATGAGATACACATCTTGGTTTACAAAGACATTTTTGTGTGCATAGCCTGTTTGTAAAATGTTGTGCCTATCGTGAAATTTATGGGGCTTATGATCGTTCAAGAAGAAGGAATCTTGACAGATTGGGGAATTATTCACTGGAAAGAGGTTGATCCAAATGTTTAACTGCAGCATCCCACCCGGCTGCTGTCACCGGGCAGGGGGGATGAAGGACTTCTTTTTGGCTCCTCATAAACCTACAATAGATAGGATTGTTTTAGCTGGACAAGCATTGGCATCTGACTGGTGTATCATAGTGATAAAATAGACAGACTCAGCTGGATCAATTGTACCAATATCCTAATTCAGGCTTCAATTTCTTCAGCCATCCAGCACAATTATGACATCTGGATATAGATAAGTGTTAGAAGGAGGGTGGGAGAAGGACGTTAGCCAAAGGATGACATGTATGTGAAAAAAACTAACAACAGAGGCAGTGGAAAATGAACTGTCAAAACGACAAAGAAAAGTTCCTGGAAATTAAAATAATCAAGGGGTATAATGAGACAGATGTAAAAAACGATTTGGTCATTCAATCCACGACTGTTTGTGGGACACTGCCGTGTGCGTTTGGCCCACAAAATACACTTTACAATATATTCTGTGAAGCGCTTTGGGATGTCTCAACAATCTAATAAAGCGTTGGATTATTGTTATTATGCATCAAATGAATCTTTTGGGAAGTTGCGTAGATAGGCTGGATGAACCAATGGTAGACTCCTGATATTACTGTGTTACTTATAATCTTTCACAGTCGGTCAATTGTCTTAAGTCAGCGGTTTAATAGGTCACAATCCTCAGAACAAATCTCTGGCTTGAATAATGGAAGCCACTGCTTTGTGTAATGTGAAGCCTGAGTTTTAGCTTGTTATGTAGGGCTATTCATTTGATGCCCAACGAAGCAAGATGCAGATGTAAAACTTGAACTTGATCTCTTTGTACAAAATGGTTGCCCATTCCCACTGGGCACACTTCCAAACCTGTCACAGCCCAGCTCTGATTAACTACTAAGCAGGACCAAATGTTTCTATCAGCATGGAATTAATGCGATGCCCCACTTCATTGAAAACAACAAACAACAGACAACAGAAAGAAAACCTTGTGGCGACAAGAGTGATATTCGTGAACCGGCACTGATACTTTTTGACGCAAGGAATGGCCAGACTGCCTTTTCTTTTCAACTGTGCTGCATTGCACCAAAGTTTCTTTCAAAACTTGTTCCAAGCAGCTCCGGTTTCAACCAGTTGAGCAGTAATCTCCATGAATAGCTGAACAGAGATCTCTTAGTGCGCAAGACTTGAATTTAGGTCTCTTGCCAAAACAGCCTACTTTCATTTCAAGGGCATTTCGCCAACTCTCAGCACAGCTAAAATTTCTAACATTAATCCAGGTATAGAGGCAGAGCACTGCATAATCAATATACAGTACCTTTCAATAATAATAAAAAAGTAATCCTTGCATTTGATATAAAGCCTTACTACATCATTGAGATGCCTCAAAGCGCTGTGTATTTGTGGGTGAAACGCATAAATATATTCAATTTAATTTTAATTTATTTAAAATTTTAAGTGTATTCAATCTAAAATTCAGCAAGATCCAGAGGGTGGACTGATATCCATATCTTTTTCTAGATTTCTCTAAAGCCTCGATATTCTCTGGTTTTAGTCTACTGTCTTATAATTTAAGAATTTGGAAAATTTCTTCCAATTCAGTTTTAATTCAGAAGCCGCCCTCCTCTGTTCTTTTAGGATCAATCACAAAAGGCCAGAGAATATCTGGCTGGTATCGGCCTGGCTTGGTTAGTAGCATTCTGGCCTCTGAGTCAGAAGTTTGTGGGTTCAAGCTCCACACTGGAACTTCGAATTCACAGTCGATGCCGACACTCCAATGCAGTGGTGGGAGTGCACTGCATTGTAGGAGGTGTCATCCTTCAGATGAGACAGTAAATTAAAGTTCCGGCTGCCTGTTCAAGTGGATGGTAAAGATCTCATGACATTATTTGAAAAGAGAAGGGAGTTTCTTCCAAGGCCCTTGCCAAAATTTGCCCAGAAACAAATAGTCATTCATTCCAAGGCTGTTTGTAGGACATTTCAGTGTTGCAAATTGGCTGCCACTTTTGACTGCAAAATACAGTCACTATAGTAAAATTCTGTGAAGTGTTTTCACATCTAAAGCTTCTGGATCAAATGCAAGGATTATAACTAGAAAACTGGATGATGGAACAGAACCAAACTGGTCAGCAAGTGTAACTGGGCCTGCCAGATCAGTAAACACTCTTCACCCCTCCCCACATCCTATCATGTCTCAAACTCATATACAAAAAGCAGCAGTAATGATAGAATGCCATAACCTTGAAAATATACAGTGTGTAATTGAATATGCAATATTCAAAAATATTCATAAGAAATTTAGGTTTTGATTTGGTTTTAAATCCCTGAGTGTGTTTTAAGCAATTTTTCATTTTGTTGGGGAATTTTATCTTTCAGAGTATTTTCTTTTTTGAGGGTGTGTGGCGGGTTCTGAACCACGTGTTCTGATCAATGAACTGGGCATGTCATCTGGTAACGCTGCTAGCAGCAAAAGCTTTAACTTACAAATAGATGGCAATATGTAAACATAAAGCAATAATTGCTCAAACTGCAATGAAATAAACTTTCAGGGGAAAGCTAGACGTGCTATGCTAAATTTAATTGTTCTTGATGTTTCTATAAAATGCTTAGGAAAATGGATAGATTTTTCAATGATAAATATAAAGTGTGTACTCTCAGAGGTTACAAGTATCACCTTTGTTGATGTGACCACTAATAGGATTTCTCTATGCAGAGTTTTACATAGCTCATACTTTGCAAACGTCATATTAAATGTATGGTCGCAACTGATACGATTTATGTAAGGTTACTGTAGATACAATTCAGTGTCAAACATTGATGAACAATCGGCATTTTTATCATGTTCTCCAGACCGACAAAAGTCAATTTTTAATTTTAACATTTTTTTTAAGACTTATAATAAACAGTCACTTTCAAGTTATCAGATCGCCCAAGTTTCACTTTTGTGCAAGAGATGTGCCCTGCAAGTCAATAACACTTATTGCACAGAGCACGCACACCCAGTAAATGACGTCAGACAGATTTGCTGTACATTGCGCAAATTCACAGCATAAAGGAAGTGATATCAGTAGTGACCTGACAATCCTGAAGTCAGCCACTTTTTAAAGTTGAAAACACCAATAGAATTTTATTTTAAAAATCGAATCATTGTCAATGAAAATCAAAAAAAATCAATTTCCACCAACCCTAACTATTTTTTATGCTTCGTCTTGGCACATTGATAGTACTGTATCACATCTGAACCATTGACTCATCCAGATCCTTCTCAATATAAGCACCAAGTTCTATAAATATATCACACCTATTGACTTGTCTCCTATTTGCATACCATTCATTATATACACTAAGTACATGTATACCATACAAAACTCGTCCTTTACAACAAGCACACTGTGCAGAGGTGTGGTGTGTGGTAAATCAGTAGCTAGTATTATGGTACACAGAAACATTCTCAAAACCTGAAAATCTACCTATTCTTATGATTTAAGACCATTTTGTCTTAAAATGTAAGGTAATGCAGAATTGTAGAAATTTCTCAATTTCGGTCTTAATTTAAAACCTGTTTCTTTTTAAGAACTGCAGGAAATCCACTTGCAAATTAAGATGAATTAGGATTGAAATAAATTTTCCACAATTCTGCCCAATCTTAAATTTTAAGACAAACAACTTGAGGGCTAAACGCTGCTAGGAATTTCAGGCCTCAGAAGTTCCATTTATTGACATTAATTAGGATTTGGTTCCAAATCACAGCTCTTCAAAATCAAAGTGACTGAGTAAACATGACTTTATTCCAATCCTGGAGCAGAGCAAAAGTCTTGACTTCTGGATATTGCTCTAAATCTGGCTCCATAGATTTTGTAAATCAATCCAGGTCTGATCACATCTTTCCTATTAAATATGAAAGAGTAGCACACAAGGTGGGCCGTGGTTTGATACAATCCAACACAAGAGTTTCCATCACAAGAGGGTGTCACTAAAAGGGATACCGTGACCAAGGTGTTGGAGAGAATTTGGGAAGAATTTGCCAATTCTTGAAACTGCTCAGTCAGCTTGGCTTTCAGTCATCTTGCCCCTATCCATTCAGTTTTGCGCCCCCCCCCCCGCCTCTTTCTCCCAACTCGGGCTCCCAGTCAGCTTTGTGAAGCGGTTTTAGACACCCTCTTGATGTGAATGGCACTACGTAAATGTAAATTGCTATGTTGTTTGGAGAACAAGATCAAATAAGCCAAAAGGGTCTTCTTCATCCAAACCACTCATGAGCTCACAAAGTCAATTCATGCCAGTAAATATGGAAAGTTAATGGAAGATGCCATACAGCCTGGCATGCAAACTTGTGTGATGACTGTTTTATCACTGTTTTTCCTCACATTATAATATGAAGAATGTACAGCCCCCAGATCAGCTATGCAAATGTTATCAGATCACTGATCACACCATGTACCTCTCCATGAAATCCCCTGAACCAATTAATGACAAATCGTACAAGACAATTGATAGATTTTGGTAGGTCAGGGTATTAAGGAATATGGGGAGAAAGCGGGAAATTGGAATTGAAAGGATTAGTTGAGGTATAGATCAGCCATGATCTAATTAAACAGACTTGAAGGGCTCAACTGCCTCCTTCTGTTCCTATCTTCCTAATTACCCCAACAGCACTTCAGCCAGAGGACATAGACCAGTTGGCCTGAATCTACCATGTAAAATGAGATAACAATTTGAGTGTAGGGAAACCTGAAGATGCTTGAATGTCACAAAAGTACACAGAGAATGCACTAAAATAAATCAAACATTTAAGCCATCAGGGTTAAACCCTGGGGTACAAGTGTGTACAAAGTAATTCCCAAAATGAGATTTAGCTATATACCATCTCACACACACACCCACAAAGAAAAGGAAAATGTCAAGACATTTTGAACATTTGTATCACCAGTGTCTGCAAAAGAGTCTATCACCAGATCACCGATCACCAGACACAGCTATCTGCCCACTACGTCTTTGTCAAGGGAAATCCTATTGTAAATACTCAACAAAATGTTCACGATTTTTAGTGGGCAGGATATGAAAGACCCAGATATCCTTAGCAACTGTGTATTTAGGATCAAATGTTAAGAGGGTGGGCTCTTTAATGTCACAGATGGTCGTAAGCGAGGCCTATATCTCAGTTCTTGTGCATGAATATTTTCATCTGCAAAAGAAACTTACTTTCCAAAAAATGTAGGATATCTACCAAAATTGCTATGTCTCACTTCCAATCGTATTCTGTACAGATGGTGATGGTTCATATTTTGTTTGACTACTATTGCTTACTATTGCCTACTAATATTTAGGTGTTTACCTAAAATTAAAATGGTGATTTTTTTCATTGCTATAAATTGCCACATGGGACCCCATTAAACTCTTTAATTGATGCCTACTTATTACGCGATGTCACCTTTATTTATACATGCCTCATGTTAATAACATTGAGGTTCTAGATTACATTTTATTGGTTTCAAAATCGTTTGGAAATATAATGAAATAGCAATTACTCAGATGTGATGTCAATAATAAATATGACCCAGAGTAGCCAAATGCAACAGAAAAACATTCATGCATTATCTGTTTCTGTCCTACAGGATTTGTTTTTCTGGTAAGGCTTTATCATTGGGAATTACGCGATGAAACCCCTCCCTCCCCACCCCCCACCTGATTTACCATGTGTGTGTGTGAAGTGCAGATGATTTCCTGTTAATTATACATGACTCTCGTAAATAACTTGGGTGTTTTTTCCAGTCACTATTGGCCTCCCATGGGTGTTGTTTTCCATCGATATTGGTGCAATGGGAGCATCTGTCTCAGACGTCGAAGGGTCTGTCTCAGACGTTGAAGGGTCTGTCTCAGACCCCGAAGGGTCTGTCTCAGACCCCGAAGGGTCTGTCTCAGACACCGAAGGGTCAGTTTGAGTCTGGTTTTCAGTCACCTTCAGCACTGCTTCCATCTCCTTGACCTCTTCCTTCAGCTGCTTGCTGTTGTGTCGTGAACAACTCTCAAGGTTGTCCTCACTGACCAGAGGGTGCACAGATACCTTGATGGCGATGAGTTGGGGTTGTTCATGCAACGAAGACTCGTCCGATTCTCCTGCCGATGAATTGCTACGTTTTAAAGAATTTGGGATGGTGTACACATCATTCTGTCCTGCCGCTTCTTGGTTCAGCGGGCCGGCGCCTACATACATATGACTTGGCTCCTCCATACCCACAACCTCCATTATTTCCTCCACAAATGTCTTACAGTTCATAATCAGAGGAGGCAAGGGAATACTTTTTGCGAGTTCCTCTATGTATCTGGCAAACTCCATCGTCTTAAACTGGGTAACTTTGGCCAGTTCCAGGGTTTTAGCTGAGGTGATTATTGGGATGCGCTTAGCAATCTCAAACGCCTTCTGTAACTTCTCTGCTCCCTCTGTCCTGAAGAACTCATTGATCGCCTTTTCCGTCTTCTTTAAGTGGCTGCTCATCATGCACAGGCGTGTAACGTTCAATATCATAACAATGGTGAAAGCCACCAGGCAGATGACCATGTAGTAAATACCCATGTCCCCTGAGGTGAAGATAACTCGCAGAGTGACCGTGTAGTTGACACTGCCATGGGGGTTCGAGGCAGTGCACGTATACTTCCCTCGGTCACTGAATGACACTATGGTGATGTTTAACAATCCACTGTCTGAAATCCACCATTTCCCTAAAAGAAATCAGAAGAAAAAATCATTTATCCACAGTAGCTCACATCAATCTTTTTTTTAAAAGCATGTGCGTCAGCCTGGCGCCGTGGTAGCACTTGCACCTGTGAGTCAGAAGGTTGTGGGTTCAAGGCCCACATTGGGACTGGGAATCACATAATCTAAGAGGACGCTCCAATGCAGAGATAGAGGGTGTATTGCAATGTCGGAGGTGCCGTCCTTTGTATGAAACATTAAACCGAGATCTCGTCTACCTGTTCAGGCGGATGTTAAAGATCTCATGGTACTATTCAAAAAGAGAAGGGGTTTTCTCCCGGTGTCCTGGCCAACAAGTCTCCACAAATAAAATTGGTGACCCATTCAGTGCCTGAACATTGTTGTGTGGAACTTGTCGCTGCGTTTTGCTCACAAAATACACACTCAATCCACTTTACAGTATATCCTGTGAAACACTTTGAGACGTTTGTGGACGTGATAAGGCGATAAATCAAATGTAATAATTATTATTATTATTATTATATTTAGTTTTAATTTTTTTTCCAAAATCTCATATTCGGTTGGTGTTAGGAACAGGAGGAGGCCATTCTACTATCACACCAGTTATTAAATCATGGGTCATCTTTTAATCCCATTTTCCTGCTTCTTCTGCATGTTCTTTAATTTTATTTTGTGGATGAACGTACATTTTGTGGAATTTTATTTTGTGGATGAAAATAATTTTATTTTATGGATGAAACCTCTGGAATTCCATCCCCCAGTCACTCCACCTCATCCCCTCCTTAGCCTCCTTCAAGTCCCACCTCAAAACCCTCCTCTTCAAACATGCCATCGGTCACCCCCATTCCTCTCCCCTCCCTTCTCCCCCCCAACCCCAGCTCGGGTCTGAAATGCTGTACACTGTCCAGCGCCTTGGGACATCCACCGGACGTGAAAGGCACTATACAAATGTAATCTTGTTGTTGTAGTACAGGGTCAAATGTGACCATTTTATGCCATCTTCCTGAACCACACGCTTCTTGCTCACAACTTTTCTGAAGCCAACCTGTGCCGGTCGGTCATCAACTGAGCTGACGGACTCTATCCTGAAACGCAGAATGGTTCGATCACGAACATGTGCATACGAACATGTCACATACTCTAAATAGTTTAAGCAATTTAAAACTTTAGTACATGAAAATATCTTTTAAATGTATGAGTGAAGATGTCACATTTGACCCTGCATTCCAAATTTTACCTTTGAACTCCCATGTTACCAGCACCAAAAATTCATGATATCTCAAAGGTTTTGCAGTCGGTCATTCAATTATACAATATCATATTATGATAATTTGTATAAAAATGATATTTAAATTCAGTGAGATCTTTCCATATAAAACACTGTACCACTTATTTTGCTGCCTTTTTATGAATTTAATTGATATAATTTTCACAACTTGTTATTTCCCCAGGATAGTTTTGACTTGAATATAATACAATGTATTTCACTGGCCAGCCTGCTCTACAGAAATACTCTTAGATGTACTTTGCTCGTTCCTTCTAAATGACTATTATAATATATTTAGCAGTGCCACAGACCCAACTAATTACATACATTAAATCATATCACAAACATTCCCATATGAGGAATGCTTCCTTATTTTCACAGTAACTTGAAACTCTCTACATTTAGTATAATGAGGATTACTATACTGAGGCAAATCATTCCAATCTACGACGAGATTATGTCTACCTTATGTAGATCACTTCACTCTATGCTCCCGTTCAACAACTGGATTTGATGCTTTTTGGTTACTTGCTTAGCAGTTGTAATCTGCTTCAAAATGGGAACACAATAATTTTAAGACATGAGGTCCAGAAGTAGTGGCATGATTACAAACCCAGTCTTAATGGATGCACAAACTATAATATGGTTGTTTCAGTCAATATCAAGCACAAATCTCTTAGGGCCATGAATAAATCCTGATTCAGAAATACACGGTTTATCTGAGAGTAATAGATGATTTGGAACAATACAAATTGCTGGTGATGCTGTATAACAGCAAAAACGGATTAAAAAATAGAATTTATACAGAGCCTTTGAAATTGGATTAATGTCTTAATGCACTTCTCCAAGACAAGGTAATAATAATAATCCTTGCATTTGATTTAGCACCTTATCATGTTGTCGAGACGTCTCAAACCACTTCACAGGATATACAGTGAAGTGAATTGACTATATTTTCTGGGCAAAACGAGGCAGTCAGTTGCATACAGCAATGTCCCACAAACACCCATGGAATCAGTGAACAATTTTATTTGGGGAATTTGTTGGGACAGGGAGAAAATACCTTGTCTATTCAAAATGTGCTGTGGGATCTTTAACATCTACCTGAACAGGCAGATGGGACTGTGGTTTCACTTATAATAATAATCTTTGCATTTGATACAGCGCCTGATTACATCATCGACACATCGCAAAGCACTTCACAGAATATATGTGGGGCTCAAACCCGCAACCTTTTGATCCAGAGGTAAGAGGGCTGCCAACCGAAGGGCTGACAAATATTCTTATTAACTCTTCAGGGGTCCTGCAGCCAATTGCTGAACCTCTTTGACCTCCCAGCTGAACCTGCAACCTTCCTCCTTTACGTGGCTCTGTTCTGTACTGGACTGTGGCTTTACAACTGGAGCCGGGGGGAACAAACTCAACATGTATTAATGAATAAAACATTGAAAGACATTCCCTTTATAGCATATCAATCCACTTTACAGTATATCCTATGAAGTGCTTTGAGATGTCTTGATGATGTGATAAGGTGCTAAATCAAATGCATGGAATATTATTATTATAATAATAATGGAGTCCTGTAGCACATTAGTTAGAGCACTCACCTTGCAAGCAAGGGGACCTGGGTTTGATTCCCGTGCAGAATGGAACATTAGGCAAGTTTCCTTACTCCACACGCCTCTGTTTACCAACAATAACCTGGCACTTGGTTGTAAGTCAACTGGTGGATCGCTTTCCGGGGGTAATAATTCAATTTAAAAAAATAATAATTTGGTCACTCATTCCACGATCGTTTGTGGGACACTTCTGTGCGCAATTGGTCACCGCGTTTCGCCTACAACATTTACAGTCAATTTGCTTTACAGTATATTCTGTGAAGTGCTTTGAGACGTCTCAAATGCAAGGATTATTATTATAACCCATTGGTTACTGTCCAAAAAATATTTGAGTGCTAGAATTCATTACAGGAGGATTGTAGCGAGGAGTTGCTATGGAAACTGAGACTGCTTTATGGTTTAATATGGTCAAGGTCAGCAGTGTAAAATGTATTGAACGCTTCTTATCATTTGTCCAGTAGATGCAAGCAAGCGGGAGTGACAATAGTAGCTTTTACCACACATAGCTGCCCTCAGACTATTTAAACCTATTTATACAAAGGTTCATCATACCTTCCCGACTTAACCTGTATGCTTTCGTAAGAGCTTTATCTGCCAGTCCTGCCACCTTCAAAGATTTACTGATATGAACCCCCAGGTCTCTCTGTTCCTTCACCTTCTTTAAGATTGTACCATCAGCTTATATTGCCTCTCCACATTCTTCCTCACAAAATGCATCACTTCACATTTCTCCACATTAAACTCCATCTGCCACATGTCTGCCCATTTTACCAGTCTGTCCATGTCCTCTTGCAGTCTGCTCCTATCCTCCTCACCGTTTACTACTTTTCCTAGTTTAGTATCATCTACAAACTTGGAAATTGTACTCCCTATCCCAAGTCCAGATCATTTATATAGATCAAAAAGAGCAGTGCTCCCAATACCGATACTGTGGCATTGGCTCCATCCTCTTCTTTTGTGAAGACAGATGCAAAGTACTCATTCAGTACATCAGCCATGCCCTCTGCCTCCACAAGAATATTTCCTCTTTGGTCCCTAATTGGAGCCTTTTAATCTTTATATGCTTATAAAATAGCTTAGGGTTCCCTTTTATGGTACCTGCTAATCTTTTCTCATACAAGCTCTTTGCCCCTCGTATTTCCTTTTTCAGTTCTCCTCTGTACTTTCTATATTCTATTTGACTAACTTCTCTATTTTGGACCTGACATTCATCATAAGCCTCCTTTTTCTGTTTTATTTTAATCCCAATTTCCTTAGTCATCTAAGGAGGTTGGATGCCCTACCTTTCCCCTTTGTGGGAATGCATTTGTGTTGTCCCTGAACTATCTCCTCCTTGAAGGCTTCCCATTAGTTGTTTTTCCTGGCTGGCTTTCTTTCCAGTCCACCTTGGCTAGGTCCTTTATTTAAACTCACTGAAATTAACGCTCTTCCAGTTTAGTATCTTCACCTTTGATTGTTCCTTGTCCCTTTCCATAAGTACTCTAAACCTAATGATGTTGTGATCGCTTGGCCTGTAATTTGTTGGGTGGCTATAATCCTTCTAATCCTGGCATTTGAGAACCCTTTCATGTCAGAAGGATGTTTCAAAGCACTTTTTAAGATTCACTATTAAAATATATATTTTGTAGGTAAATGCAGTTAATTGGGTATCTTCCCTTCTTATTGTTATAGTTAGATTAGAATATAGTCAGTTCAATGAGAATAATGTAAGAGAATTCACTGTGAAGAACATCCCTTGTGATCCCTTCCACTGGTGGGGAGAAAAAGAGGCTTATTCTCTTCACAGTGTGTGGCAGATGCTAGAATTAAGGAAATTGATCCCATTGTATATGTCAAAGTAGGATATCTCTTTCATCTTACATGACTAGGAAAGTTCAGCCCACAACCATACGTACATTCACTTGGATACAGGCATTGAGCAATAACATTTTCCAACTGATTGCTCTCAGGTTTAACTGAAGGCAAGTATCAACCAGGTGGCAAGGGTGTAAATGAATTGGTTTACCAGCTAAAGAGGAAATGGGCATCAGCTATGAATCTAACAGCTGCAACCTTTTCACCAAGACAAATCTCTTGTCGTTGTAATTATTTTTCACTGACATTTTTAATAATACCAACA